CTTTGTCAATGACAGGGACAGTGGGATTGAGTACACTCAGTAAATTTGCAGATGACACCAAGCTGAGTGGTGCAGTTGATACAACAGAAGGAAGGGATGCCGTCCAAGGGGACCTGGACAGGCTGGAGAAGTGGGCCCACATGAACTTCATGAGGTTCAACAAGTCCAAGTGTAAGGTGCCATGCCCGGGCTGTGGCAGTCCCAGACAAGAGTACAGACTGGGAGAAGAACTCACTGAGAGCAGCCCTGCAGAGAAAGACTTGGGTGTTCTGGTGGATGAAAAGCTCAACGTGAACCAGCAGTGCGCTCTTGCAGCCCACAAAGCCAACTGCGTCCTGGGCTGTATCAAGCGAGGAGTGACCAGCAGGGAGAGGGAGGCGATTGTCCCCCTCTGCTCTGCTCTTGTGAAGACCCACTTGGAGTGCTGTGTCCAGGTTTGGGGCTCCCAGAACAAGAAGCATGCGGATCTGTTAGAGTGGGTCTAGAGGAGGGCCACAGAGATGATCAGAGGGCTGGAGCCTCTGTCTCTGGAACCTCTCCTATGAAGAAAGGCTGAGAGAGCTGGGGATGTTCAGCCTAATGAAGAAAAGGCTCTAGGGAGACCTCATTGTGGCTTTTCGGTACTTAAAGGGGGCTTTAAAAATATGGAAAATGGCTCTTTGCTCAGTCAGATAATGATAGGATGAGGGGGAAATAATTTTAAACTAAAAGAGGGGAAATTTAGATTAGATGTTAGGAGGAAATTTTTTCTGAGGGTGGTGAGGCACTGGAACAGGTTGTCCAGAGAGGCTGTGGATGCCCCATCCCTGAAGGTGTTCAAGACCAGGTTGGACAAGGTCCTGAGCACCCTGATCTCATGGGTGGGATCTCTGCCTATGGCAGGGGAGTTGGAACTAGATAATCTTTGAGGTCCCTTCCATACCCAAGCCATTCTATGATTCTATGACTCATGTCTAAGTGGCTCACATATGCCAGGCACTTATCCACTAAATCAACCCAACACAGCTGCCTCCAGTTTTGAGACACAAGAGTATAAACACAAATAAATGGAGGAGGCAGGAATGCAGAGACAAAACTTGTGCAGCATTTTGAGGCATGACTGAGACACATAAGCACATTTTTCATCGATAACTGTTGGAACCAGGTAACAAGCACTATGTAAGCAAACTTGCAAGCGTACCCAGGTAGGCTGAGTTTAACAAGAATAATTTCTGCAAAGGAAAAGTAAGCTGTGAAAACATTGCGTGTCTTAGTTTTATAATCCTAAAGCTGCACTAAGCAGAAAGAAAATAGACAATCTAAGGAAACAGCTGCCTGTGAAACATATTGAATAGGCTTGGTGCCAGAAAGAGAATGTGCTGTGTACTGCTTGTGCATTAATAGTATAATGACCAAAAGGTTTTAAAATAAGTTAGAAATGCAATAAAGTGTGTTAACTGCACAACATAATAAACAGTAAAATCCTGCCCTTAATTAAAAGCAAATAGGTGAAAATTAGAGAAAAGATCTCCTGGCAGGTGGCATGAAATTGGGATAACCTTTGTAAACCAACTTAAAAAAAAAAGAGGTAGCTAATGGATCTTACTCTGAAACATCAACAGTCACTTTACAGAGACAATTAATTTACAGCTTGCAAAAAGACATGATTTGCCATGAACAGCAGAAATTTGGTGCTTTTTTTTTTTTTTCTCTGTAAAACACGTTCACTTTTCACTTTAGCTACACACTACCACTGACACAGTCACCCAAGAGAAATGAAACTGTTCCTCGCACATCACGTTCTATAATGTAAGAGCAACTTAAGCAACTCAGACCTATCTGAGTTTCTTTTTTCTCCATCATTTTTCCTGCCTTACTGTATACATTGTGTACATCTTATTGTTACTTGTAAAGTCATGTATTAGTATAAATACATGTGCAATTATTTTTCCTGTCTCATTTCAAATGATCTATTATTATTTTTAATAATACTAAATGCCTAACTGAACATCCACAAGTACTTTCACTCTCCTTGATTTTAGGTACCTAATTTAGATCTTAAGTTTGGAAGCCACTTTCTTCCATTATACTTAATTAAGAGAGTGAATCATGGCAGATGCCCTGCACTGAAGTGCCTGGAATTACATTTGTAAGAAACTTCTCTCCACTAACCATGCAGGATGCTTCCTAATTTCTGGACCTGCATGCTGTTTTCAGACAACAGCTGCGTGTGAAGCTGAAAAGGGGGCTGCACATTTCTCTTTTCACTCTCAGTTCTGTGCACGGCGAGAAGCTGCTACCTGATGTGAATGGGCTTTCTGGGGAAATTCCAAATACAAAATTAAGTAAGGGTGAAGGACCTTCGAGTCTTTCCCCCCTGCTTAGATTATGATTGACTGATCCTATTACAAGTAATAGCTGAATGCAGAGAATTGCTGGGCTATCCTCCATCTATATTGGCTCCATTTTCATTCATGCTAACATTGCTTCTCTGGGCATGAGGGAGGCTGAGTCAAGATTTATACAACCATGCTCAATCTATTTATTTTACCCATTGCCAAGTATCAATATTTTGATTTCTGTGAGCAGAGGTGATCAGGTTACCAGGCAATGTCATATGTAATTTAGGCAGTTACTTAACAGTTTTGATCTGGTTGCTCCAGTTTCATTTCTTATTAGTATACATGATTTACATAACAATCTGCATGTCAATATTCTTCCCCTCTGTAACTAAATGTGCTTTCCATGTCCTACTTTGACTTTTAAAGCTGTTTTGGTATAACTAAACCACAGTGAAAAAACAGGGAACAAGAATATGGAAAATTCTGATTCCATCCAAGAGTCCCAATTCATGCTCGACTGGCAGTGCAATGGGAGGAACTGAGCATACGGTATTGCAAAATGCAATGTACTCCTAAACCACCAAAATAAAACGCATTTATGTATCATGCAGTTTTAAGCATTAACACAGAGACACGGTTCAAAGAATGGCATGACCTATTCCAGCAGGCATCTTTATGTTGCTAGCACCTTATAATTTGATTTTTTGAAAAACACTCTAAGTAGAGTTCAAATTTTCTCAACAATTCTGTTTTCAAAAAGCACTAAAGAGGTCATTGGAAATTAAACTTTTATCTGAATGTAAACACATTCTAGCAATGCAGATGATAGAGAGGTCAGAAAAAAAATAATAAAAATTAAATATCTTTTCATGTGCTAAGAAAGTAAAATCAAACATTGATGATGTAAAAGAAAATTGAACTTAAAAATTGTTTGAGTTTTAGTTGTGATTGTGGGTGTTTGTACAAGGGATACAAGGCTATTAGGCGTGATTCCATATGCTGACCCCTGCTCAGGAAAGTGTTTGCTAGTCCTTGAGTCAAGGAGTCTGGAAACGCCTGCAAATGACGGCTGTGCAGGGACAACACGTCTGCCTTCAGCTACAAGGCAGCACGATGGTACTGTACTGAATCAAGTTGTTTTTAATGTCTTTTTATCTTATCCTGTGTCTTTTAGAACAGTGCTGCCTCTCAGTTTCCACTGACATAATTGGGTATTATCTTTCAAAATTAATTCTCATAAAATAAAATGTTCCTTGGCTGTGAACAAAATTTCCAGGACAGGCACTCATTATTCCTTTGTGTTGGAAAAGTCTTTAGTGTACTGCAGGCTCTACTGAAACAGGCTGCTAATCGCAAGCTATGGTCCTGTTTAAATAGTAAAGCATAATAAATGCAAGGTGATAGCCTGTTTCCCCCTCCCTTTGCCCTTCATGGTGCTCTACAAGAGCAGGCAGGACATTATCTCCAGCCGTCCCTTTCCCCAGAAGGAAGGCAACGGAGGGGCTGCCGAGCAATGCGGGAGGGAGGGGAAGGCAGCGGCCAGCTGCCCAAGCGGCAGCCACAGGGGCTCCATCAGGCCTCTGCTCACCATTAACGCTGACTGCTGAAGATGACAGGGGTGAGGGGTGTATGTGTGTGTGTGTGTGTGTGTGTGGAACAGGCTCATTTTCAATACGCAAGCTCCAACTCGTCAAAGTACACGCAGATTAGGGAGACAAACTTCTCAGCCTTGGGGGCCTCGTTAGTGCCTTGGGTTAGCCGCAGGTACCTCAGCCTTTGGCAGGCAGCTTAGCCTTTCACAGAATCACAGAATTTCTAGGTTGGAAGAGACCTCAAGATCATCGAGTCCAACCTCTAACCTAACACTAACAGTCCCCACTAAACCATATCCCTAAGCTCTACATCTAAACATCTTTTAAAGACTTCCAGGGATGGTGACTCCACCACCTCCCCGGGTTTGGCAGGCACCTAAACCTTTGGCAGGTCTTAGCTGAGGATTTGGATGCAGGGCTGTACCCACAATCTCACGCATCTACACCCAGCCCAACAAAACGCTGTGGCGTTGCCTCGAGAACTTATGGAGCTCAGCAGTGAGACGGCCAGAAAAGGTGCTCAGTGCGGTCCTCAGGGCTGCGCCTGTGCCTGCTGACGGGACACAGCTGCCACGCACACCTTTTGTTTTTACACAAGGAGGCTCGGAGGGGACACATCCCCCCCCCCCTTCACCCCGGCAGCTCAGCGCTGCCTCCCTCCCCTCGCCCCCTCAGCGCCAACGGCCGCCCCCTGCCCGCTGCCTCAGCACCGGCGGCCGTTGGTAGGGGAGGGGGGGGGCGGGGGTGCCGTGCGTGCCGCCGCCGGTCACGTGGGCGGCGGGAGCGGGGCCGGCGGCTGCGGGCGGCGAGGCGGCGGCAGCAGCATGGCGGCGGCGGCGCTGGGCGGCCTGGGCCTCCTCAGGGGACGGCTCCGGCTGCGGCTGCGGCTGGGCGCCTCCTCCCCCTCCTCCTCCTCCTCGTCGTCCTCATCCTCATCGCCCCTCGGTCGAGGCGCTGTCGCCGCTCGGGCCGCGTCCGGGAGGAGCTACGGCTCGGAGGCGAGGGAAGAGGAGGAGCTGCGGGTGCGGTACCTGGACGACGAGCACAAAGGTGACGAGGGGGAGGTGGCGGTAACGAGGTAACGAGGCTCGGCTCGGCCCGGCCCGGCCCGGTGCCATGAGGGCCTCCCGCCGGGGTCACCCCTGCGCCGCCACCGGAGGCGGGGCCGGGCCGGGCCGGGCGGCCTCGGGGGGCGCCTGACGGCCGCAGCTGCTGGCGGGCACAGGCACCGGGCAGGAGGCTCCGACCACGTTTCAGTGTCTGCAGAGCGTGGCTTCAGCATCCCTAGGCAGCGTTACTTCGCCTTGCTGCTGTTGGTGTCAGCTGCGCATGGTCTTGTTTTCCTCAGCTGTGCCAGGAGGCTGGCGTTAATGCCCCTGGGTAAGAAGGCAGTGCTGCGGTTTAATCTGCAGCCCCACGCATCGCAACAATGCTGCGAAGCTGGTGAAGGGCCTGCAATGCCAGGCCTGTGTGAGGCAGCTGAGGGAGCTGGGGTTGTTTAGTCTGGAGGAGAGAAAGCTCAGGGTAGACCTCATTGCTCTCTACAGCTACCTGAAGGGAAGGCGTGGGGAGCTGGTGGTTGGCCTCTTTTCACAGGTAATGAGTGACAGGACCAGAGGGAATGGCCTCAAGTTGTGCCAGGGGAGGTTCAGGTTAGAAATGAGGAGCCATTTCTCCTCAGACAGAGCAGTCAGGCACTGGAACGGGTTGCCCAGGGAAGTGGTGGAGTCACCGTCCCTGGGGGTGTTCAAAGAAAGGTTGGACGTGGTGCTTGGGGATATGGTTTAGTGGGGGACATTGGTGGTAGGGGGATGGTTGGACCAGTTGTTCATGGTGATCTTTTCCAGCTGTAATGATTCTATGGTTCTCAACAACACTTTGTATTTCTCATTAGGTTTGGTGCTTACTAGATTTTACAGGTGTTATCCTTTGGACAGATTTGATCTCCGTGGGTGCCAGGAGATCACCCACTTGCAAATTTGGGTGCAGCATGGCTAGGAATGGTAGACCACCAGTGATGGGACCTCAAGGGAACAGCATTGAGCTTCATTATGGGGGCATGTCAGGCTGGGCATTAGGGAAAGGTTCTTCACTGAGAGGGTGACTGGGCACCGAAACAGGCTCCCAGGGCAGGGATCATGGCCCTGAGCCTGATGGAGTTCAGAAGTGTTAGGACAAAACCCTCAGACACATGGTTTGGTTTTTGGGTGGTCCTGTGCAGATCCAGGAGTTGGCCTTAATTAGTCCTTGTGGGTCTCTTCCACCTTAGGGCTTCCTGGGATAAAGAGTAGCTGTAAGCTTTCTTTCACAGGATCAGGCAATTCCAATATATTGGAAGTTAAGCAGGAGGGGCAGAAGGCCAGATTGGCTGACAAGGGATCTTCTGGAGCTTAGGCAAAAAAAGAGAGTGTTTGGCTGCTGGAAGCCGGGTCAGGCAACATGGAAGGAATACAGGGACGCTGTTCACGTTTGTAGGGAGAAAATTCGTGTGGCCAAAGCCCCATTAGAGTTGAAGCTGGCCATGTCTGTGGGAGACAATAAAAAGGGTTTTTTAGAACAGAGAAAGGAGGACCAGAGAAAACATAGATCCGCTACTTGATGGGAAAGGTCACCTCACTGACAAGGACATAGTAAAAGCGGAGACGTTTAATGCCGCCTTTGCCTGTGTCTTCAACGCTGATGATGGGCTTCGGGTGCTCTGAGCTGGAGGACCGTGACAGTGGGAATGACAAACTCCCAACCCACCCTGAACATGTGCGGGATTTGCTGCTCTTCCTGGATCCATACAAGTCCATGGGGTCCATATGGGATTCATTTCAGGGTGCTTAAATAGCTGGCTGATGTCATCATGGGACCTCTCTCAATTATTTTTCAACGATCTTGGGAATCTGGAGAGGTCCCAGTAGACTGGAAGCTGGCAAATGTTGTGCCAATTTTCAAGAAGGGTAAGAAAGAAGACCCTTGAAACTACAGGCCTGTCAGTCTCATGTCAGTAAAATTATGGAGAAGGTTATCCTGGGGGTTATTGAAATGCACCTGGGGGACAATGCAGTCATAGGTTACTGCCAGCATGGGTTCATGAAGGATAGGTCCTGTTTAACAAATTTAATTTCCTGTTATGAAATTGGATTTCAGGAAGAGGTTCTTTACCGTGAGGGTTGTCTCACACTGGAACAGGCTCCCCAGGGATGTAGTCGTGACACCAAGCCTGTTAGAGTTTAAGAAGCATTCAGACTGTGCTCATATGGTCTGAATTTTTGGGTAGACCTGTGCGGCACCAGGAGTTGGACTCTGATCCTTGTAGGTCTCATCCAACTTGGGATATTCTGTGATCCTGAGGGTTTATTTTTAGAGCCACGATGTTCTACTTACTTGTATGGAGAAGGCCCTAGTGTGGAGCACTATCCTTCTGAGGTGTATAGATTTCTTCAGGTGGCTCGTAGGTGGAACAACCATATGTTGAGATTCAAGGTTTGGTTTACATCTTTCAGAACATCAACACAGTTGTTTGAGACCATCTGCAAACTTGGTCAGGCATCTTTGAATTGGGCATACATGTATACAGATTTGTATGCACATGCAGAGATGTTACTTTAAAACCGAATTTTCACTCAAAGGTTAGATTTCTTATTATTTTTTTTTTTTTTTAGAAGGAAAACTGATGTACTGTTTCATCTGATTGCTAAGAAGAGGCAATAAGGTTGATAACGTAATCTGATCCTGCAGTCCACTTTTATCTGAGTGACTGTCCTGTTCCCAACTCTTTTGCAGTTCCTTAAAGACAATACTTGACTAGCCCTGTTTTCTCAGCCAACTGTGGTACTGGAAATTGGTTTTAAACTTTTATTTTATTTTTAAGCTTATTTTAAACCTAGGTGGAGGCAAGGCAGGAGCAAAGAAGACTCGACAGAATGTTCGAGGGTGGATTTGCTTGTTTCGTCTGTGCTTTTCCCACAAGTCAGTAGAAGATACTTGAGTACTACCTAAGGTCATGGTTTTTATTTCTGCCATTAGGGAGCTAGTAATAGAGTTACTGCTGCTGTGTTCCAGCTGTTGAATGGCTAGCAACTATTACTTCTATAATGTTATTAGTTTGTATTGTACATTGTATCAATCTTAAGTTCATTGCTGTGCGTTTTTCATTCAGATACCATAGATTGTGCAGAGAATTGGAGGAGGTTTTTGAAGAGACACTGCAGAGATAGCTAAAGTTTGGCATGTCAGTAGCTTAGTCTGTTTTTATTTTTCCTGATGAAAAATCCTTCCTGCAGTTTTTTTAGTTTTCAGAAAATACTAATCTGTTAAATGTGGCATTAAAACTGCCCCAAAACCTGGAGTGCAATTTGGAGTAGTAAATCAGCTCTGGATATTTTAAGGAAGGACCAATCACTATTTTTAATTCACAGATCCACTTCAAAGAGAAGGAATTTTCTTTGGTTTTGTCTTTCAGGAGGACATGGAAACAGATACTGTTTGTTGATAAAGGAGAAAAACAAGGGTCTAGAAGTAAGCCAGGAGACATACGCTTCATATGCCTCCCTCAGCAGCACGAAGAGCAGAACATGTTTTTGCAAAAGAAGAAACATGTCTCTGTCTGCTTCTTCCCTGTTCCGCTAGTGCACACCCTCCTCCTCGCCCCATGTGTCAAGTTCATCTGTTTCTATTTGCTTACAGCATGCAGTACCTCTGCTCCATCAGGATGCTTACTCCATACACGCCGCAGGGGTCTCCTTCACTCTTCTCTCACTTACAGTGTACCCATCTCCAGCAGCTCATGATGCAGACCTTCCCAAGTGGGACCCCAGTGCCATTGCCCCTTTACGTTCTTCCACTTCATGCTTCTTGACTGCACGCAGGGACAGACCCTGTCTACCCCGACTGCCCTTCAAGGCAAGCCCGTGCTCATTGATGCTGCTGTGATGCTCTTGTCCATGCACAGGCTGTCTGAGCTGCTTGGAGGAAGATGCATCGTCCCTAGTGCTGCATGGGCCGCTACGGCAGAGACTTCTGGGGAGACAGGAAAATGACAGGAGCTGCCTCACACAGAGCTGTGTATCCTGTAGCTCTAGACAAATCTCACCCTTCAGGCAGAGAAGCAAAATGCCCTGCTTCGTAACACTTCCAAGTGACTCATGAACCACAGTTTTGGGACCTTGTTAAACATCTAGTGCAATGAGACTGTGTTTGGAAGGGCTAGTTACTGAATTTTTTATTCAAGACTTTCCAACTTCCAGATTTGAACTTAACAAGAATACAAAAGATGTAGGATTTGAATATGGTTATAAAATGCTTCTGAACAACACGTTGCAGCTCATGTTGCTTGCAGTATCAGAGTTATGTATGTGTGTGGCTAAATGTCAGTGTATTATTTTTTTATTTAAATACCTGTCTTTTACACTATTTGAAATTGTATTTGATTATCATTGTTAGGTCTGAAATGTATTATCACTACTGGAATTTCAGAGCTTTTAGGCAAGTTGCACTAGCAAGCCCATTAGAAATTTGAATTAATTTAGGGCTTTTGCTCTATAGGTTGTAGATGAAATTAACAGAAATATCTTTGCAATCCTGACTGATATGTTGCAGTGTTACTTACTGGAAAGTGATGCAAGTATTTGTAAGTTTTAGATTTTCCACTAGAATAACTATTGATGTTTATATTTTCTATCTGTTTTTAGTTTGGGATAAGACAGCTTTTTGACCTCATCAGTTAGAATTTTATTGTACATAAAACGAGCAGAACAAATTGGTCTTGTTAGAGGTTGTTTATTCAGAGGCTGGAAACTTAAGAGCTAGCTGATAAATCAGAATAGTTTACGTTCTCTTCTTTTTCTGTCTTTAAAAAAGTTAGAGCAGATGTGGTGTACTAATTTAAGAAGTGCAGGAAAGATTTTTGAAGTTACACTTTGAGATAAGAAGGTGCTTAGGATTTTGAGAAGTGCTTAGGTGCTTTTAAAAAATGCTGCTCAACACATACCTGTATGATTTTGCACATAACAGCTTCTTGAAAAATATGATCAATGGAAATGACCAGAATTGTCCATGGTATACTCACTATGGATTCTTGTTATGATTAAGAAAATATTGTACAATTAATAAGCATCTCAGTCAACTCATCTGCTGTGGTTTATCTGAGTATTTAAGTGAGAGTTAAGTGAGACAAACTTAAAACTTTTCTCTTCGTTCTTCCCTTCCTCAATGCAGAGGTGTATTTTTTGGTTATGTAAAAGAACATTTGGATACATTTTTTGTGTGTGTGTGATTGTGTATATATAATGCAAATAAATGTGTTTTTCTAAGTACTTTTTATAGAGACCAAGTGAATCTTAGTAAGACAAATTAATGATATGAATGTTGAGAGGACTTATTTGTAACTAATAATTTAAATGTGTTTCTACTAAACACTGAGGATGAGTATTTTTTGAAAAGTACAAAGCACAAGATAGAACAGATAAAAATTGTTATTTAAGGCAATATTTCCTGTGTGCCGATATAAACTGTAGTTAAAACATGATCTAATCACTTCACTTAAATTGGCCCACCCTGTTTTTTTACAATATAGGAAGAAATATGATTTTCTCTTTCAGCAGTTTTAAATAATGATAGCATCATGCATTTTTGCTGCCCCTATCAAAACACAAGAATGCTTGAATATGATCTACTTACTCATATAAAAATCCCAAATTTAGTGCACACTATGAAATGAGGGTGTGTGAGGAATTTAAAGGTATTTTGAAGTTATTACTCATTTATATGTATTTTGTCTCACTAAAACATTTTTGGTTTCGTTCTCCCTTGACTTCAGTATATTTTTCTCTTATATGTTAAGAATTATATAACAGCTTTCTCTGGTGGCATATATAACATATAAGAAGAGAACATACTGTATGTTTGCATATGCTCTTCCTCTGATGGTTTGCTAGAGAAGTAATGCAGAGGAAGCATGACTACTTTTTTTTAGACAGCATTGGAAGTCAACTGAATCCCTTGGAGAGTCTATCTAATAGGGTGAAAATTTCTTTTTAGTATGTGTCTGTAATTTTTAATAGATAACACCATATTTGCTGAAGAGTGTTCTGGGGTAATGCGGGTATGACTCCCAGGAAAAAATATGAAATTAATATTACATTCAGCATTGTTGAATGTAATCAACATTTGCAATATATCTACCCTTCTTTGATGCTGTGAAGATATCAGAAATGATCTATTATTTCTTCTGATATCTGTTGGTGAATACGATGATGACTCTTTACTTTTTTTTGGATAGTTTTTTTCAAAAGTTTTTTTTTAAGATATTGGAAAGCATGCCGATATGTGGAGGCTTTAGGAAGAAAGAATGACGACTAAATGCTTCAGATGAAGATGGAACAGATATTTCAAAAAATATATGCCAATATTCATCTTTTCATATTGCTAAATATTTGTCATAATGGTTACTTCAGAATGGTAATGTGTAAACTTTGCTGTTTTTTTTTTTTTTTGTTTTCTTTTAAGTGGTTTGCTGGGATTCTGCATTGCTGTATGGAACCTGATTATTCCTTTTTGCCCTGATTAGGGAGCTTCCTCCAATCTAAAATTTGTATGGCTGTCTGACCAGGCTTTTAAATCTTGTTGGATGCCCAAAGCAGGAAGACTTGCATTAAACTGTTTCTGTCAGGAGATTCTTCTGTGATTCTTGAGGTGGGCAGGGGAAGGGAGAAAGTATATTCTTGGGATTGAGTTGCTCAGCTGGAAATCAGGAAGCCTATTTTTCTATTTCAGTTATGTGACTTTAGCAGGTACCCAATCTGTCTGTAGTTTGGTCACTGATAAATATATTGGGAACCCCAAGACTTACTGCAATATTAACAAACAAACAAACATAAGGGATTTAAGGATACTCAGATACTATAGTAATCGAGTAGTAGGATTTTCTGGTGTTAATCTCATGCTTTTCTGGTTGTAGTTCTTGCTTCTCTTTTCTTCTTATTTGAGAAATAGAATAGCTGTGTGGGTGTCATCTGTATTTACCTCACTTTTCTGGAAAGGGAGGCAGAAGTGGTAGTTTTATGACTAGATGTGACACTGCTGAGAAGAATCAACCTGTATGATTTATCTTCAAGGTGCCTTTCTTTGTAGGAAAATTACTAAATGTGTTTTAATGTTAATTGAGAGTACCTTCTGAATACACTAATATTGGTGGCGGAAATTAAAGAGTGTCAATGCCACTGAAAAAAACCCATATGCTTCTATAAAAGACCTTACTTCCAAACTAAAAAATAGTTTGGAATGATGATCTCTTCAGTTTGTTCAGACACTGGATATGCAAGGGTGCCAGCCGTAGAGCCTAAAATCAAAGCCAAGTCACATCGCTTTTTGTTGTTTTAAAATGCAGTGCTGCTTTTGCCTAATTTACTTGTGTGAGCGTGTGAAGTATTGGAATTTGGAATATTCCTCCTGAAGAATAAACTGTGACAGTAGAAGAGTGCTATGGTCAGAAGCATTACGTGAATTTTGTCCTGTTTGTTTAATAAAACAACCAGATTCCAGCTTAAGTGCTGAGTGAGGGACCTTGCAGAAGGTCCTAGATGACCTCCAGCCATGTTGATGAACGGGTGGGAGTTCAGGCTTAAGAACAAAGGGATGAAGGTTGTTTGGGTCAGCCAGGCTCCTCTTCTCTGTTTCTTGATAGTGATCAGCTGGACTTTGAGAACAAGCAAGAGCAATGTGTGCTCTCCTATTTGGCCTTAACAATTTTCATTGAACATTGAGCATGGTAGTCTTCAGAAAACTTTGGTTAGACAATGGCTTCAGTTTGGTAGCTGCAGGAGAAACAAGACCTCAGTTTAATTGCATGTGTGGAGGGGCACATCCATGCGGAAGGAAGAAAAGGAAGAGGAGTGGGCTCAAGGGCAATTACGTCAGTCCTTTGGAAGGACATGTTTCCGTAAAGGAGAAGTGGTGTACACTGAGAAAACAAGACGGCCTCCAGAAGATGACTAAGAGTGCCAAATTTTATAGGTTATACATACAGAGCTGGGTGTTGTAGTGAATACACTGGCAAATACTGATTTTTTTTTTTTTTTTTTTTGGTAGATTGAAGGTGATATGGTAGGCATTTTTGTCTGAGGTAATGGGATCTCCTTTTCTCTCTTCCATTCCTGGTCCCTGCCTTAGTCTTTTGTCCTCTTCCTTTTCGCTTTGCATCCCGAGTAAAGAAAAAAAAAATCCTGATTGGTAAGACTTTACCAAGGCTGGATCAATTTCATAGGATGGTGTGCTGCTGTTTAAAATTCAGGGAGTTGTAATGCATTCAGGATATAATTCTCTAAAAGATTACTATAGGTACACTAAGGTACACTTACCAAGGTAAACTCTTTGGGATTTTCCCATTTGACTGTCATGCCTATAAAACTGAAAGAGAAGGAATTAGGACAAAAAAATGTTGTTCCTTCTGCAGCATTCAAACCAGCACAAGTAATCAGTCACTGAGCCAGCTGAGCTGTAACTGGTCTAAGGGAGCTGTAGATGTGTGACTGGAGCTGTGTGGCCAAGCATTGAGCAGTTTGTGTCCTGAGGTAGAATTTCTTAAGATTTTTATTCTTTCTAAACAAAAGTTAAGTTTTTCTGTTAATAGTGTTCTGTCTGTTTGTGACTTCCCTTTACCTGTATCAGAATTGCTTAGCTGTGGTAACACTTCTTGCTTTAAGAAGTTTTTCAACGCATGCTGTCTAGCTATGGAAACATACGCTTTACAGTTGAGTGTCTTGCCTGATTGCATGTCAGCACTTCACACACAAACATGAAATTTTTGCATGCAATAGTGGAATTATATGTTTAGCCCTTGTAAGCACTATTTCCACGTTGAGGTGTTAGGGCCGTATTTTAGTTCTTGAAATACACGTCACTTCTGTTGAACACTGAAATGTTCAGCACTGGGAAACTTTAGTCATTTTTTTTTTCTTTTTAAAACTCTGTATCTAAATGATTACAGTAGCACATTTTTTTTTCTATTTTTGTACTCCTCAACTACGCCTTTTTTATAACATCAAAATAATTATATAGGGATATTATTTTCTATATTGTAACAATAATACAATTTTTCTTCCCCTCCAGGAATTGTGGTGCTTGGGTTAAACAGATCTCATGCCAAGAATGCCCTTAACAAAAATCTTTTAAAAATGGTAAGTAAAAATAATAGTTTCTAGTATGAAGGTGAAATATTGGAATTAAATACTTCAAAAGCGTTTGGTTATTCCCCTTCCTCCTTTTCTCTGTAGATGTCAAAAGCTGTGGATGCTTTGAAATCTGATAAGAAAGTACGAACTGTTATATTCCGGAGTGAAGTCCCAGGGATATTCTGTGCTGGTATGCAAACTTAATTTTCCTGAGAAGATGGAAATCTGTATCTAATACTGCACAAACACACACACACAAAAGCCCAGATTCCAAGGAAACATGTCTTTTATATATATTCATCTCAGTAGCAAACAAAATGTTTTTGTATGATGAATTTCCTCAATTGCTGACAAGGATTGAATATGTCATTTATTCTTTCTGTGTCATAAAGTGTTTCAAAATAGATAATATTTGTGGTGGTGAAAAAATATTTAATAGAGCTCTTACAAATTTTTGTGTTTACTTTAAAATGAAGACCAAATAATGCTAAGGGTTGTATAGAAGTTTATATTGAAACATATTTTAAAGACAATAAAATCAATTTTAAATTAAGTTGACCTAAATAAACTTTAAATTAAAATTCATTATGAAATAGAATCTTAGTGCAGACCAAATGTATTCCCCCCCACCCAAAAAAAAAAAAAAAGGCACACAAACAACCCAAATACACGTGTCCTGCCAGAGTCCTGAGAAAGCAAAAGCTCTCAACTACCAAACACTGAGAAGCAAAAATTGTCAACAAGTCAAAATCATTTGAAGCAGACGTGTCTTTTGTGGATATCAAGTGAATAGGCTCCTTATACTGAGATGTCCCATTTAGTGCTTTGCTTGAATTTAATTTTAATCCATTTGAAATTGAAAACAGAAGTCAGTCTTCTTTCTAACATGTGAACAGAACTGTAAGGATAGAGGAGAAGATCAGTTCTAAAATCTTATGTTTTTGGTCATTATGCAGTGGTTAAGCTTGCTAACCACACATAGCATAATTAATTCCATTTTAAACACAAAATATTCTCTCCATTTTTAACTTATGTAGCATAATAAAACTCAACAAGAATACTTCAATTTTTGTTGTTGTTGTCTTTAGTAAATCTGTTTGTATCCAGCTGCAGTTTGTTTCTTACCAGGCTTGTGAAAAGAATCTTCTTGAAAAAAAAAAAGGAGTCCATACAGTGTTTAGAAATACATACCAGTAGTTTAAATAGGTATGCATTGATAAGCATACTTGATTTAAAAGTTTCATCTTGGTTTGAAAGAACAAATTATAAAGATAAGTAATTTACAGTAATCTTCAGGAAAATAAACAGGTTTAAAAGCTGCAGTTTTTAAACTTATGAGAAGTGGTGAATGTGCAGCATCAGATCAGCACGTACAAGTGGGTTTTCAAGTTATGTAATTCATAGGAAAACATGGTTGTTAGTTAACACTTGTCAACAAATGATTTTTATAAACTTTTTTTTAATATTCATGAATTTTATGGTAGCTGTAATATTGAAAATCTGAGAGCAGGCATACTGATTTGGGGGAAGGGATTTGAGGTATGCTATTAAAATTGTATTTCTGAACTCCAAATACTTCTTCAGTATTCCATGTTGGTTGGTTTTGCAAAGCTGTTTTGTTATTAAGATTTAAAGATGTCTTTATTGGCTGTTTACCTGGCTTAGAAAAACCACTTAGAGTATGTATACACAACTGGTTGTAGACAAGATGCAAGGGTGTTTATGAGTGGACATTAGGCAGGGAAATTAACTCTGAAGAGTGGAAAAGGCTAGGGCTGGATACTTGTATCAGGATCTTAAATCAGGGAGTGAAGACAGGGTATGGACCAATTATATCTGTAATTTTAAAAAGTAAAATATGTCAGATAGAGATGGGCCTGAGAAAAGAAGCTCCTGCAGCTGAACCAGTGAAATTAAGGATGTTCCCACAGTGGTAACTGAAATTCAGGGCAAACCAGAAGACTTGAGGCAGAGTTTGCCAATGAAAATGGACAGGAAAAGCTCTATGCCTGGATGGATTGCTTCTGTAAAAGACATTAAGGGAAGTCTGTAAAGTGAGTGAAACTAGAGAAAACATAAGGGGGATATGGAGAAAACAGATAATGGCTTAGGGAAGTAGGATGAAGGGAGGAGCATTGTGGATCTAACAAAGCATTATCTGTAGGGGAGTTGCTTTGGAAATTCAGTAGGGCAGAAGAAAGTGTTTTCAAACTCAAATGTTAAAGGACAGTGTGTTTCAGGATCACTTAATTTCTTTTAAAAAGGAAGGATCATCTTGTGAAATGTTGTAACATTTTGTTTTGCGTTATAGTGCAATTCAGTTAGGCTAAGATTTGAATGTTTGTTTAATTTTTTTGATTTCCTCAATTATGTTTTCTTGCTTGCTTGTGTGGGAATGTATGGTTTTAAAAATACATTTTTTATGATGATTTTTTGGATCACCATCTGATGTTTTACTGACCACATATTGAGAAACTTTGTCCTAGAATGTAATTCCCTTTTATGTGTGGAATGAAATCCAGGGTCCTCAAATCTTGCCATTCCTCAGCTATCAACAAAAATCTGTGAAAGCCACAAGCCAAGTGTCTTGTTTCCTTCTAAGGGCTAGTCCACAAAAGATGACATCCAACTGTTATTTGCTAAATGACAGTGTGGTTGATTAAAAGATTTAAAGTCTGCTGATGACTGATGTGGATTTGAGTATGATTCCAAATTACGGGATTCTTACATGGTGAGCTGGGAGAGAAAAAAAAAAAGAGGAATTGTATAAAAGAATGTAGAGACGTGCCAGCGATTGTATCCTTTCATTTCTGCTTAAATGTTCACTTTGAATCTTTTGCTACTCATTTCCCTAGTATCTACTTTCTTATGATCTGTGCTTTCATGGATGTAGGAAATTCCCTGTTAATGCACTGATCAAAAAGAACACCTAGAAATCAGTAAGAGCTTGGACAGTGTTAAGGTTGCGTTATGTCTATGAGGTCTTCTCCTGTTTCTCTCCAAAGTGTTCTGGCTGTAGGTCACTTCTTAGCCTTTGTCTTCCTCTGTCTAAAAGTAAATAAATAAAGTACTACCCTTCCTGGAGTGAACATACATGATGAGTCCTGGTTTATGTAAGCCTATGTTGTATGCCTTCCCAGTTCTGAAGCCAATGCAGCTGAGCCCATGCGGGAATTGTTTTTGTTACGTGGCAGTATTCCATCCTCAAAGAAGGTACAGTCTGTACATGGAGTAAGGCAGGTGTCCCGTGGGTAAAAAGTGTGTGATCAACTCATTAAGAGCTGTGCTGTGTTTATGCAGTGGGCTGAATTACATTTACATCAGTAATTTGAATAGTTTCATTTTTCATTATTAATGTAGTATTAGTGGTACTGCTCGGGTATTTTTGTCAGCAGATCTTCAGGGATCTTCATTTTCAAAAAATTTCTCGGAGATACAGTACTGTAAGGAAGGAAGGAAGGATTATCTGCAAATTGTTGCAAAACCTTACCTTGGAGTAGAAGTGTATTCTGGGAGATAGCCTTGCATTACAGGTTCTTCTGATCTAAACTATATAAAAGAAGGTACTTTTATATAGTCCAGAAGTAACTGGACAGGAGCTACTTTTTTTTTTTTGGACAGTATTCTGTATGTCTCAGAGTTGATCATAATTCTATACTGTAGAAGTTTTGCTGTTCAGTTTTCTAAGGCTTTCAATAAAAGGCAAAACAACTTATATATTATGTAATAAGATAAATTTATTTCAGGATAATATAAATAATATAAATTATATATATATATATACACATAAAAATAAAACTTTCTGTTATTGCTGAAGTTGTGTAGAATGTTGTTTGGGCAAGCTGAAGGATGCTGTCAGATTCATAGCCTTTCTTCTTTAATTTCACCCTGTTGTTGTGCCTGTCAGGTTCCTTATTTTCATGCTTTGTCAAGAAGATAGTTGTATGTGTTTAAAAAATTTACTCCTGGTGTGTTTGTGTTAGGTAGTAACTTACTGTCCCATAGTCCATTGGATCAGTTTATGGCTAGTACTGTTAAATAGAGCCTCATGCTACTCGTGTTCAGCAGTTTTAAGTAATTACCCTTTTGCTTTCCCGTCTCTGTTGCCTGGCCAACCAGATCAATCGCTTAACTGAGACTTTCCCAGTCTGGTCAGAGATTGCTTTGTTTGCATTTCCTAAAAGTTCATATCCAAGTAATTGTCAGTTTCCCAACATCCATCCATTCTCTGCTGATAAGAAAAATTCTCTCCCCTCACAGGGGAGAATGAAGTGCTGTGGTTCCCTACCAGTACAGACCAGCTTGGGGTTTCATTTTGAATGGGAGTTGGAAGAGCTCAGGGGTAGGAACCTGTAACTTGTGATTTTCTGGGTGACTTTGTATCACAGAATCACAGAACAGTCTGGGTTGGAGGGAAATTTAAAGATCCCCGAGTTCCAACCCTCTGCCAAGGGCAAGGACACCTTCCACTAGATCACATTGCTCAAATAATTATTGCTCAAGTATAATTTTGAAGAGTGGACTATTCAGTATTGTTTCTCTGAAGAGAACTGCACTAATTAAAATAGAGGTTGTGGGATTGTTAAGTTACTTGCATTGTATATCTGTGAACACAAAGAAGGCTTGAGGGCAATTTTATAATTGACAGATTTGAAGAAATGTTGTTCCTTAGAGACCTTTCAGAAATCATTGAGACGTATCAGAATATGGATAGTTAACTTTTTTTGTTGTTGTATCCAGCTTTCAAGGCAGCTTGAAAAATTTGGGTATTGGAGCTCTTCAAACCGCTTTGATCTAAAACAGCTTCAGTCGCTGCAGCTTTGCCAATACAACCCCCTCTTGGAAATGCAGAAGTAATCTTTCTGCCAGAAAAAATTCATCGCTTGGGTCTGTGGTGTGAATAAAGCCAACACAAATGCTTTTTCTGTTGGCATAACTTGCGTACATCAAAGTTTTGTTTCCAGCACAGCTAAATTGGCTATATGGTGCGTGGTTCCCGGCTGCCATTTCCAGCTGGTGTAGTTTTTCTGGCAGAAGTTTATGAAGTAGATGGGCCTGGGAGAGCAGATCCTTGAATACTTCATCTATAAGGTTTTGATGTGGACTGAAGGAAAATGCCGAAGGAGGAAATAAGTTCTGTAATAGTCTTCAAATTCTTTACCTATGCTTGTTTTTGTAGAACCAGCAAGA